ACCCCCCATTCCCACCTCCTCCAAGGCAAGATCTCCCATGGGGAGTCAGCAGAGCCTGGTACATTTCAGTTGAGGCAGGTCCAAGCCCCTCCTTCCTGCACCAAGGCTGTGCAAAATGTCTCACCATAGGCACTAAGCTCCAAAAAGCTGGCTCATGCACTAGGGACAGGTCCCGAACCCACTGTCTGGGGGCCCTCTTAACAGTTTAAGCTAAACAACTGTCACGCTTATCCAGAGGGCCTGGTCCAGTACCATGGGGACTCCTCAGCCATTGGTTCGCAGTTCATGCATTTCCACTACTTTGACTAGTTGTCTCTGTACTTTTTCCCTTCATTGGACCATGACTCTTTTTTTTTAATCTTTTTTTAGATTTATTTGTTTGTTTGTTTATTTATTTATTTATTTATTTATTTATTTATTTATTTATTTATTTATTTATAATGTATGCAGTGTTCTGCCTGCATGTGTCCTTTCAGGCCAGAAGAGGGCACCAGATCTCATTATAGATGGTTCTGAGCCACTATGTGGTTGCTGGGAATTGAACTCAGGACCTCTGGAAGAGCAGCCGGTGCTCTTAACCGCTGAGCCATCTCTCCAGCCCCCGGACCATGACTCTTGATAGGGTCTGAACAAGAGATTTGTGGATGCCAGCCTTGTATTTTTTCTTCTTTCTTCTTTCTTTTTCTTTTTTCTGGTGTCCTTGCTCATACATGGGGGGCAATGCCACTGATGCTGGAAAACTGGGGGAGCCGGGCAGGGGGATGAGCCAGGTGCTAATGGTGGGCATGTGTTAAACCCCCAGCTCTGCTACACGTCAGTTTCACAGGGCTGGACAGAGCACGGATACATGTAGCATCCACCCTTGGTATCCAAAGATGGCAAATGGGAGCTCAGATCCCCTCAACTGGATCATAGACACTTCATGAAACACCATGGTAAGCAAGTGTGGCAGGAACTACTCAGCCCCTGGGTATCAAGGAGCTGCCCTGACAGGATAGCTGGCCACCTTCGAGGGTCCCACCCTGCTCACACTCTGGCTTCTCACCCACAGGCAGGGTGGGATCTGCTTAAATCACTTAAGAGCCCGGCAAGCCACACAGAGGAGAAAGTGTTACCTATAGGCTAAATCATACCCATGCCTGGCTTCTGTACACACCTAAGGGCATCTCTCATCTCACTTGGTCTTCCTAGTTACCCCCAGGGCACAAAATCACCTCATTTTGCAACTGGGAAATCTGTCCACCCTGGAAAGGCAGCGGCTTACCTGATCCTCCACAGCAATCCGCACACCTGGGTCTGAAATTATACAAATGTGTACCTTTTGCTGTAGATGCTGAAGGCTTAGCTGAGGTTTTCATGTAATAATAATAATAATAATAATTATTATTATTATTATTATTATTATTATTGCCATTTAAGTAACACTTGTGAATACCCACTGGAGTCAAATAAGGCCACTAAAGTAGTAAACAAATAAGAGATGACTCTGCAGGTCATCTCCAGGAGTCAAGGCCATGCAGGAATGGGGTAGAGCACTCTCTTCGGATGTGGTGAAGCCTGTGGCAGCCCCCAAGGACTCACCTTTGGCTTCCCCTCCCACCTTTACAAGGATGTTCTAAAGCTAGGTGTTTCCGGAGCTGGGATGCAGCCGGGGCAGTGATGATGCAGGTCTGCCCTCAGGACCAGGAGGATGGGGCTAGCAAGCCTGCAAGGGTCTTCCCACCCTGTGCTATCTCTCAGGCTCCTGACTTCCTCTCCCCGGGAGTTGGGAGTTACTTTCCAAGACTGTGCAAACAACCAAGGCTCCCTGGCCGCATCCCCCAGGGACTCCTATTTCTGGCTGCCTCGTTCCCCCTGCATCTCGGTGCTTGCTTTGCTGCTCATGACTGGGTGGCTTCTCCTCCCAGCTCCATGAGACTCACTGCTTTGGAAGCAGCAGCGAGTCTTGTCTCTTCTGACCCAGAAGGGTAGGGCGCCCACCCCCTGCCTCTCTAGAGTTCCTCCATCAGTCCTATTGCAAATATCCGGACTCTGCCAGTCCCGGGTTCCAGCACTTATCAAAAGGCTGTAAACCCTAGCTACCCAAGAGGGTTGAGACAGGAGAACCATGGATCTGAGGCCAGCCTGGGTAACTTCATAAAGCCTTGTCTCAAAGTAAAACTGAGGCTAGAACAGTTGCCCAGCACATGCCCAGCACTAAGCTCAACCCATGTGTAAAACGGCCAGAAAATGGTTTCTGGCCCACTAGTCTCCTCCAGTGGGAGCCCCCAAACCAGCTCCACCCCCATCTCTGCCTAGCTCCTCCCTCCTGAGACATGCCACGTGGAGTCCAGTTGAGCAGATAAATAATAAACTCCTGATGGGAGTGGCTCCTGTTCCACGTCTTTATCTTTCCTCATCCTGGAGAATCCCGTCCAGGCATCCTTGCCACCCTGGATCCGGGCCACTAGCCCTTACCACCCACATCCCCCATCTGCTATACTAGAGTGATAACAAGGCTGCTCAGAGAGAATCACGGGCTTCAGGGGAGGACCCGGGACTTGCAGCCATCGATCGGGGCTTACGGGTGTAATCATGAACATTCCACTCCACCCAGCCTGCACATGTCCCTTCTGTCACTTGCTCAACCCTGTTCCTGAGGCCCATGATAGCCCAGGAGGGAACCCCAGGTAGTCCTCATGAAGTGTCCTACTCAATCTTATTAAAAAATATTTCTTTTATTTTTTAAGATTATAATTACATCATCCCCCCACCCACACACACACACATACACTTCTTTTTCTCCCTCCAACCTTCCCATATGCCCTTCCTTGCTCTCTCTGAAACTCATGGCCTCTTTTTCCACTAGTTGTTATTACATATATATCTGTAAATATACACACCCCTAACACACACACAAACACACACACACACACACACACACACACACACACACGTTCCTAAGGGCACGCCTATCAGTCTGTATAATGTCACTTGTTTGTGTTTTCAGGGTTGACCATTTGGTAATGACTAGCCAATTGGTGTGCTCTTCTGAGAGAAGATGATTTCCCCCACTGTTGACATTCCTTAGTGGCCTGTAGGTCTCTGTGTGGAGTTGAGGCCTTTCCCCTGCCCACGTTAGCATGTCTCTTGTTGTCCTTGTTCAGCTCATATTTAGGTAGGTCTTACCAGTGGTGTGTGGGTGTAGCTTTTGACATTAGTAGGAGACACAGTCTCAAAGCAAACTCCCTGATCCTCTGACTTTTACAATCTTTCCGACCCTTCTTCCACAATGTTCCCTGCGCCTTAGGTGCTTGAGTTGTTTAGTAGCTGTATTCGTCAGGACTGAGCTCCACAATTCCACATTTAGATCGGCTGAGGTCTCTGTTGGAAAGAGAAGTGTCCTTGATGAGGGGTGAGGACTACACACATCAGTCTAGACCCCGGAGAAGGATGTGTGGGATTTCACTGGGTGGAGAGGTTGGATGAGGCATGGGGGGGTGGGGGAGCCTCTTGCTCACTCTTACATACTTCTCTGAGGCCAGTGGTTCCCCTGAATGCAGATTAGTAAATAGTATGTTCATTCGATGTAGTAATAAAACTCCTACCTACCTTCAGTCACAGCCAAAGCGTCTCTTCCTCTTTGGTAACAGGCTGAGTGAGGTAGGGAGCACAGGACCAGGTACCACAAAGGCTCCTGGGAACTCTGTATCTAGAATCCAGTTGTCACAGGAACATGTGGTCTGCCCACGCCCTGGTGTCATAATCACTTCAAAAAGCCTCTTAAAGATTGACATTTGTCTTGCTTTGGTTTGTGTGTATATGTTTGTAGATGTTCAGGCCAGAGGTGAACCTCAGGGCCCGTCTACCTTGTTTTTTTGAGGCACGGATTCTCAGTGGCCTAGGACTTGCCAGCTAAGCTGGCTGGTTGGCCAGCATGCCCCAGGGATGTTTATGCTTCCCTGGCACTCGTGTTACAAGCATATGCCACCACACCCTGCTCTTCTCACAGAGGTCCTGGGGATTGAACTCTGGTCCTCAGGCACAGCACTCATTTACTGACTGACCTGTGGGCCCAATCAACACTTCCTTCCTTTCTTTTCTGACAAGATCTTGCCACGCACCCTAGCTGACCTCAAGTTTATGCTCCTCCTGCTTCTGTCTCCCGAGTGCTAGACTATAGGCCTGCGACTCCCTTGAGAGTCAGGGCAAGTCAAACTACCCCAGAAGCTGGAGAGAGCATGCATCCCACTGTCTGAGGTCTTGCTACTTTCAGAGGAGAGAAAAGCACTCTCCACAACCCCAGGTCAGAGAGAGATTGGGCCGGAAGGTAGGGTGGGTGTATGGGCTCTTAGTTCTGCATTTGGGAAGTCTCCAGGCACCTGCCTGTTGTCCATGCTCTGCTGTGGATGAGTACAGGGATGGTCAGGAAATCCAAGCTCAGCCATGCTTTTGGGGTCCCACCCAGAGGGTCTGGCCTACACTGTAGGAAGCAGAAGGGTACTTGTGGGGGAGCCCTCCACTTAGGGCCTTCATAAACACCGAGGGTGACAGCTGTATCTAAACACCTGGAGATAATGTCCTTTCCATTCAAGGAGCCTGGCATGGGAAGTCACCCAGGAAATGACATTATTCAATCAAATGACTAAATCTTAGTCTGCTCAGTAATTACCCCTAATGCTTCTCATCATTCCCCAGGGAGGCTCAGCTCTGGCTAGACTTCTGTCCTTCCCTGGAGCTTCCCAAAGCCTTGTGGTTTCATGCTGTTCCTTCCACCTGTCCTGGGGCCTGGGCTCTATCCCCACATGGAGGAAGCAGCCAGTTCCTCCCAGCCCCAGGCAAGCCTTGCACACTGATAGCTGCTCTCTCCTCCCTAGACTATTCCTGAGGCCCAGGCTCCC